AAAAAAAAGTTTACCAGAGAGATGTGGAGTTCAAGTTAATGCCTTGCGGTGCAAACTATTATTAAATATTATCAGACCACTTTAGATATTTTCTAAGTGCAATCGATCAAAATTAGGTTAGCGACTGAGCAGTCCCTCCTGTTCCACGCACGGATGCCCGGACTACTCCCTAAGGGCAGGCTGTGGATATGGGATGCAGGGAGCCCCTCCCTGGATTCGGGATTTGGATCTCCGGGCAGGATGCGAGARGCTGCCACAAGGTGCTGCTCCGACGAGGCCTCAATTTGTTCTGCCATAAATATAAATATTTTTGGCTTTTTATATGCTCAGTGTTATCAGAGCGAGAAGCAACACGTGCTGCGGTAGGTCATGCTAAAGTTTCCTCTGCAAACATGTGTGTGCACAGGGCACACACGTATGCACACGTACTAACACATGTGTGTACAGTGCACACACATGTGCATACATACTAACATGTGTGCACAGTGCACACACATGTGCATATGTACTAACACGTGCCTGCACACACCATGGAAGGAGCCTCTGTCCTTGCCACGTGCATTTTCAGGAGAAACTTCCCTCTTGCCAAAGCAAAAACCGGCCGCTTTTTAAGGAATAAAACAACCCAACTGCAGCAAGATAAAAAACACTGGTTATTTTGTGGGTAGCAGAAAAAAAAAAATAAATAAATTAAATCCATGACTGGATTGGACTGGACAACCAAAAACCCATTCCCTTGCCTGGGAGGAGGAGGGCAGCAGCCAGCGTGGGCTGCTCCCTTTTCCACGTTAGCCACAGTGCCCATATCCCGAGCCTTAAACAGACGGAAAACACCGAAGTTTTCCTTGAATCCGAGCGAGGAGTCGCCCGGCAGCCCGTGGGCTTCGCTGTGCGCAGACCCCTCGGCGGGCGCCGGGGTGGCCGGCAGGCCCCAGCCCGCGAAGGGTTAAGCCCTGCCATTTTGGTGCCATTCACCGATATGTCCATTAAGGGTGTTACATAACAAAATGGCAGCGCTTAACCCTTCGGGCGCCGCGCTCCCACCGCACCTTGCAGGATGCGCCTTCCTCCCCCGCCCCCGCCGTTGTCCATGGTTTTCCTGTCGCCCCGGAGCGTCGAGGGCAGCGGGAGGCCCCGGCCCGGGGGCTGCTGGCCGGGAGGAGCGGGAAGCGCCAGCCGGGGGACACGTGCTTAAGGCCACCTCGTTGGGGAGTGGGGGCTGCCGGCGCAGACGCTCCCACAGCCGCTTTTCCTTGGAAAACCCAGCCCCGGGACACCGGCCCGGCGGGTTTCCGGAGGGAAACGCTGGGAATTTGGGGTCTTGAGGCGCTAACCTGCCCCCAAAGCGGCTGCGGGGCCCCTGTTCAGGGAGGTGACTGTGCGGGTGCTCCTGGTGCCCACCGTGGCGGCAGGCCCGGCTGCTCCGCGTCCTTCCGAGGTGATTTTATCCGCGTGCGGGGCCCAGCAACATGGGGCCCGTGGTGTCGGTGCGAGGGGTAGCGGTTCGGCCCCCCGGCGCCTAAACAGGGACTGAAAATGGGCACACAAACCTTGTGGAGGCACCTGCACGTCCAGCCCGGCATGCCAAGGCCTGAACTCGGGATCTGGGCAAGAGGGGAAAAAAATTGCACAGAAATAACCTTTTTTTTTTTTTTTCTCCTAATTAACTTTTACTACTGCTGCTATTCCCTCACCAATGTAGCCAGCCTAAAATCTGAGAGAAATGAAACAATGCAAAAGGAAAAAGCACCTCCCAGCTCCGGCACGATGACACCGATTCCCCCGCCTCGCGCTGGAGCGGCTAAGGAGGAACGATAGAGTCAAAACCCATTAAATACATAAATAACTAAGCACAAGCTTTTACTAAGGTCACAATCCTTACACTTATTTAAGTTAACTTTTCATTATTTAGCAGCTCGCAATAGAGGGACTTTTTCTTTTTAGAGAAATAGGAAAAGACACCTATTTATTATCAGAAACCTATGGCCTGACTTCAATCTAGCAATAGAGACATGTAAGATACAGGTTTCCTAGTCACCTCAACCCTTAGAGACACTAACTAGTGATTAAAACCTGTTTATCCAGGGTTTATTTTGACTCAAAAGTAAAGCTTTTCACTTATAAATCACTATAATTTTATTTAAGCTTTTATTTCATGTGGGCAGATTTAAATATTAAGTAACAGCACTGCAGACTGCAATCAACTGCTCCCCCCCCCCATTAAATGTATGCTTCTCATTAGAAAAGGGATCTAGGTTGGTTCATTTATTTTAATGCAAAAACTGCAAAATTATCATCTTTAGGTAGTCACAACAAGAGCAGCTTTTCTAGCACCACATGCTGTGTATATTATGACAGAGGCTATTCCTCATTTCAGTGTAGTTTGGAAAGCCGAAGAGAGCAGCTTTTCTGTGCACACAGGCTGAGCATCACTGCCCTGCAAGAGGCACCATACTTAGGGCCATGTTCATACACACCTATATAGTGTGTATGTATGTGTGTGTGTATATATATATATGTATATTTTATATACACACACATATACACACACACCCCTTCCTTTACAGCCTCAGTAAGTTCATGGACGTGTTAGGGTAGGTAGATGTAAAACACCGTGTAAGCAAAAGAACAATTCTGAATTTTCCTATTTCTCAACTAACACTCTTAATTCTTATTAAAACCTTAAAATTGTATTAATGCTAAGGTCCACTTCTCAGGGTTTAAAGGTAGTAGAGGGTACTACTTAGAGCCACTAAATAAGGAATCTGTTTGACCTGAATTTTGCCCCAAGTTTCATGGGTATATTTTTGTCTAGAAACTACTGGGCAGGAAGTCTGCTAATGACTTATGTCTGGGCTTTGTATTACCAGCAAAATCACGGAGATTCCTTAGTGCAGAATAGCACTTCGGTACCAGTTTCTGTCATGGTCCATAACAGCAGCATTTGCATAAAAGTTGATTCGGAAAAATCAGATTGTATTTATACACATCCCTACATCTTCACAGAGATACTTTTCAAGTATTTTCCAGCAGTTGTTTTTAAAACACAATCCCATTTAACCTTTTGGTCTCATGAAACAAATCACTGTACATTTAAACTCTGGAAGTTGCATCTCCAAAGACTGTTCTTCCTCTTCAAATTCTGCTGCTTTGCACAGATTTGGGGACTTAGGTAAGAAACAGTCACACCGTAAAAAAATCAGCAGTGCTTATGGCCTTCACCACAACATTAGCTCTAAAGCTGGCTCTGGTAAATCACAATAAATCAAATTTGTAAATTTATGAGTTAAATCAAATTTGTAAATTTATGAGTAGACACATCAATATTTACATTGTTTATAACAAGCTTCTTTCGGTACTTCAGCAAGGTAGGCGAGCATCACTACACACAAAATAGCTCATCAAGACTATTATCCACTGCGTTACTTGTATCCCTAGCGTTATTTAATTGCGAGACCTAAAAAGTATCTGCAGACATTTGATTCATTCCCGATTTTTCTTTTTGCGAAATGACTAACATATACAGGATTCTCAAGGGAAGGAGGTTTGTGCCCTCGCTTTGTACTCTTCATCACATTCGGACCGTGCAGCTGTTGCCAATGCCTGCTTAAAAGGAAGTGAAACTTCTCTGTCCATTTGCAAGCTAGGGAGATTTTTACCTACTCTGGAGTGTTGATCAACTGCTCAGTGAAAGGTGACTTTGATCAAGGCATAGGAACTGAATCCAGATTCCAGTTCCACCTTCTACAGGCCCTCCTCCTCACCCTGTGCAGGACAGGAGCAGAGGAGCAAGAAGAGCACGATGATTCCACCTCTCTCACTGCCCAGTCCCRTCTTTTATTACCAAATGTGCGCTGGGCTTGAAAATGCCCGTGCCTCATTAGAGATGAGCATGTCAGACACCCATCTATGGAGAACTCCTTACCTGTCAATGAAGTTCATGGGTTCCCAGGGGAATCCTGTCCAGTTTTGCTGGCTGAAAGTGACTGCAACGGAGATCCTGGGGGGAAAGACGACATGTTTAGGACGCTTTGGTTAYACTAACTGTATACCAATATAAATAGGTATTTTTCTTCAGCAAGGCTTCCAGCTCTTGCTGTGTGCCAGCACAGCAGCAAACCCCCTGCAGAAGCATTTCAGGAGCTGGGACATGTCAGTGAGACGCAGCAAACCAGATGCACTTGCCCAGTAGACCAGGGCAGCTTAGTCTAGAGCCTAATGACACCAAACTCTTCATGACAGAAAAGACATGCAGCTTGGGCAGCTTCTTGAGGACAAAATTCAAATGGGGAAGTCCTGGCACTCAGCTGTGCAACTCAAGGTCTCCCCTGGTGCCCAACCAGACAGCTGCTCTTCCCGCTTCCCTCTCTCCCATTTCTGTCCTCGGGTGCTTGCACACATTGACCAGGTCCCGTCTCGGCCTCCTCTCCTCCAGGCTGAACGGGCCCCGCTCGCTCGGGCTCTCCTCACAAGGAGGATGCTCCAGGCCCTTCCTCATCTTTGTTGCTCTCTGCTGGCCCCTCTCCAGCAGCTCCAGGTCCCCCTGGTCCTGGGGAGCCCAGAGCTGCCCCCAACGCTCCAGGTTTGGCCTCCCCAGGGCGGAGCAGAGGGGCAGGATCAGGATCCCCTCCCTGCCCTGCTGCCATCCCCATCCCTTCCCTCAACCAAGGGACATCCCTTGGTTCTGTTGTTCTGCCACAGGATCCCACTCCCTTTTGCCCGTTACATGGAAGGGAAAGGAGGAGCCGGGTCAGAGCAGGATGCAGAGGAAATATCCCTACCAGGGAGCAGGGATTCCCTGCTTGCCCACACTCCCTTTGCCTTTACAGAGGTTATTTGGTAATCCCGTGCACACGTTTGGGATCCTGACATTCCCGGTCCCTCTCTGCGAGRGCACCCAGGGCCAAACCTGCAGCAAGTCACCAATGGTCGCACGGAAAACGCAGCAAAAAGCAGCTCCTTCTGCCGAACGCTCTCCACATACGCGTGCATTCCTATATGTGCACATACATAGGGTGAACACCGAGGCAGCCGCAGGCCGGGCGGCAGCATCGGCCCTCGCAGGCTGCCCAGACCGCTCCTGGCAAGGCCAAGAACCCGGAGCCACTTCCCTCCTCCAAACGGCTCCGAGCTGCTTTCCGCTGTCCCAAGGGCAGCACGGGGCTCCGCAAGGTCTCATCCTCCTCCTCCTCTTCCTCCTCCTCCTCTCCCGACAGCTTCTCGTGACCAGGTCAGCGCTGGCCGCTTGCGGGTTCCCTGCTCCCCAAGGCGCACGGCCGGGCCCGGCACATCCCGCCCCTCCGGCTGCTCCGAGCGGTTCCCACCGCCTGCCCAAACGGCGGGAGCGCGGCCGGGGACACCAAATAAATGGATCTGCGGCCGGGTTCTGGGCCCTGCCTGGCCACCCAGAGGGGAGGCTGCACTAATTATAGCTCATCCTATTAGCGCAGTGCGTCCCTAATGAGTAGCCAAGTGCAACCATCGCTACTGCGGCTCCCGGGAGCAAGGGAGCTGCCGAGGGGACGGACACGGGACACCCGGAGCTGCCGCCACGTCTCCTGGCCGGGACACGGAGGAACCTTTCGCTTCCATCACAAGCCTCCAGAAAGGGACAGGTTTAACACAACCGGCACGTAYGGGTAGAGCGCGCACGACGCACGCTGGATCCGCGGGATGCTGCAAAGTGGCGTGAAAATGCGGAATTTCCTGCCTCGTGCCAGGAGCTGGCAGCACTCACAGGCGGAGGGCAGGATGTGCCGGGATCCATGCGGGATCCGCGCGGCCTCCCCAGGGAAAGCCGGGCGTTCTCCCTCCGAGGATTCCCCGTATGGGGACATGGATCCTGCCGATCCTCCCAGCAGCAACTTGGCATYGGCAAAAAGCGGTTATTTTAGAGGTTGTTTTGTCATTACTTCGTTAAGGTTCACAACCAGTATAAAGGAAAAAGAAGAAGAAAAAAACTACAAATAATAGATCAGGACCCCAGGAAAGGCATTTTTGGGAACATCAYTGAAACCCATCAACACTCGCAAGAACCATTCTTAGTTAAGAAAAGTCAAAAAGATTTCACATGCAAACCTGGCTTTAAAAATATAGCGCTTTCAGACTGTATGAAGCTACGGATTCTGCAGGTTTCCTGGCACGGGAGCCACGGCGCTTTGGGATGGCTGCTCCATAGGCCTCCTCCAACGATGGAGATCGGAACCCGTGCCCTTGCGGGCAGCAGTCGCGGTTCAGTTGCACTGGGATCGGGCAGCCCGGAGGAGCGGGAGCGGAGGCTCCTGTGGGACAAYGGCAGGCCGTGGGGAGCAGCGGGATGCGCTGCTGGCAGCGGCTGCTCCCCGGGCCCGTCACCTCCGCGCTCATCCCGGGCAGGAYGCTGCTTTTCCAGCATCTGCTCTTATGGATACCACGCGAGGAAGGCTGCCGAAGTGCAGGGTAATACGCACAGGCCTCCAAGGAGGAATGTGGGATTCAGTCGGGATCCKGGAGAGCCCAGGCTCCTACCCACCCATGGCACTATGTCCGTAGAGCAGCCGCGGATGCTCCATCCGCATCCTTAGATCCTTCCCGGAGCTGAAGCTCAGCCTCTCCAACCCTACCGCTCACGCACTCCGGCACAGGGAAATACGAAGCCCTGGAGTTTGTTTTCTCCACAAGATCCAAGCTGAGCCTTTCAATATCCCTGGTATAATGTGATCTGTGGAAATCAAGGCAGTATTGTTTTGAGACCCACTGCAAATGCAATTGGGATTTCTCCCATTTGYGGCCTGGACAATCTCACGGCAGGGACACGATCAGCCCCGTCCTCCCTCTCCAAGCAAGCGCTCGTTTTAATCAACCTCCTCCCCAGCTTTTCCTGAGATTACACAGAATTCAATCAAGTGCGGAGACCTGGGAGATCCAAAGATAAAGAGGTTCCAACAGGGCAGTTGTTGGGGGAAAAGCACAAACCAAGGACACTACCCGGTTTTGTTTGGACTATTTGGCTCCTTTGCCTGGTTTTGACGGGCGGCCTCCCCTGCACAGGAGCAGCAGGGCAATTTTATGCCCTCATTCAAAGGAGCAGGGAGGTTAGAAGAGGAACTAGGAAAGTCCTCGACGAGAGGAAGTACCRAGTTGTGCAGCAGCAAGGAGGCATTTGCATCGGTCATTTGACATGCAGTATTTTGAATGGTGATATAGCTACAGAGGTGTCTCCTTGCATTACTATTTTAGGTAAATAAGGAATGGGAAGCGAGGGAAATGCAGAAACCACCGAGCAGGCAGCACTGGATCTTCGAAAGGGCCAGGCCTAAGTCCAAGCAGCTTGTCCACCGGCTTCACATCTATCCRAAAGAACCTTCCTCATTGCTGTATGGCCACACTTGACTCATTAAACCAAAACCTTATCAAGAGGCCAACTCACAACAACGCCCTGCATGTTAGGGACAATAACCAGGCAGCAGACGTGAACAAAACAGCATCTATTTTAAGAAGAGGAACTACAGTATGTGCCGCGAAGCGAAAGGAGAGAGCACCAGGAACTAAAATAGGTTGGGGTTGGAGGCCGCTGCTCTGCGCATGCCGGCTCCGTTGCTGCGTACGGGCGGCATCGATCCTTGCCCAGGGCCATGGCGATGCTGGCAGCGACGCGGCTCCGCCGGCGCCTCGCGGCATCCCGGGATGGAGGAGGTTGGAAGGGACCTCCAGGGATCGTCTAATGGAACCCCTGCTCCAGCAGGGAGCACRGGGCACCCGGGCGCATCCYGGGATGGAGGAGGTTGGAAGGGACCTCCAGGGATCGTCTAATGGAACCCCTGCTCCAGCAGGGAGCACRGGGCACCCGGGCGCATCCYGGGATGGAGGAGGTTGGAAGGGACCTCCAGGGATCGTCTAATGGAACCCCTGCTCCAGCAGGGAGCACGGGGCACCCGGGCGCATCCCGGGATGGAGGAGGTTGGAAGGGACATCCTTCTGTGCACAGCTCTGCTATAGGAAGGAGAACAAGCGGAAGATTGCAGCACACGTTAATGGAATGAAGGTGACAGGTCTGGAATGACTGTCCCTACTGGCTACCAGCTTTCCCAGCATACGGAGAAACGGGTGCTCATCCTGGAAAAAAAACATTTGGGGATGTCGGGCAAAACTTTTGCCTCTGGAAGCTGCCCAGGCCCTCAGCTCTTGCAGGCAAAGCCCTTCGCAGGCTCCCGCGCGCTCCGTCCCGGAGGTACAAACAAACACGCTGCACAAATGTCACCTCTCCCTCCACGTCTACAAACGCTGAGTCTGAATTTCCAAAAGAAACTCCAGAAGAGCCGAATCTGGGTCACATTTCCAGCGTTAAGGCACTAAAGGTGCCCTTTTCCCTACTGCACATCTGGCCCGCAGAGCATCCGCTGCTCCCAAGCACAACCCATATTCAAGCACCACTCTGAGGTAACTTCACAGGATAACCTGCACGCCTGGGAGATACCAAGAAAGGGCAAATTTAACTATTAAGCACCTAGAACCTAAGTTCCAAACTTAGGCAACTTTCTCATCCGAAACAACTTTACAACAACGTTTTTATTAATGATAAACAACTTGCTTTCGAAGTTGCATCCATCTCGGGCTGCATTCCTCAGGGTGTTTCTAAGCAGAAAGCAAAACTGCAAGTCCTGCAACCACGTGTGGGCTGCACGTGCTGGCACACGGTGCAGCTCTGGATGCACGCGGAACTGCAGCACCCAGTGCTTTTGGGGACGGGATTTCTAAGATCCTATTAAAATCCCTCCAGTTTCCTGCCTCTAATGCTTGCAAGCATCTCAAAGCTGGYGCTCACATGGCCAGTTCAGCCCAGGAACATACTGGTCATAACAACCGTGGCAAGGAAGCTGGTCCTGCTTACAGCAATAGGTAAAGCAGCTTTAGAGACCTCTGCATGCAGCTTTCCGACCGATTTCAACACCTGGATATCCTATAGAGTCAATCCAAGAAGGAAAGATCACTGTGATCATCACCTTGCTTGATCCCCCTGCT